AATATTTGAAGGGATATTGAAGGATATTCCACCAACATCTTTCTATCCAAGCCGCGTCGCGACCGCACTCATGCAAGGAGGTGATCCGCACCATAGAGATGAGAAACATGGGCTTCCGTGTGGCTTGGTGTAGTCTGGTTGTTGTGGGAACCTCACCTGAAAATATTTATGTGATAGCTCTGAAATGTTGATCCAACTCCATCTAATTCATGTTCAGCTGAGTTCCGGCTACGAGTACGGTAAGCTGTCACCGATGTCAAACTACGCGACATCCGATCTAGGCTCGAGCCCTCGGTCTTCGATCAGCGTCACGTCGGCGAATTTGGCTCCCTGGATGGTTTTCCGTGAAAATCACAAAAGCAGGTCAGTGGTTTTGAAATTCGTTGTTTAAAAAAATCTTTCATTGATTGATTATTTTAGTTTTGATCTCGACGATGGAGCATCAGATGTGTGTAGTAAGGACCTTCTGTCACCGGGAATGATGCTCTCACCGGCACCGTACTCGCCGTTCTCAGACTGCGAAGATACCGGGACACCATACTCGGCGTACGCTCGTTCGCCTACCTTGTCGCCGAATCCTTTGACGAGAAGCTTCAACCACTTCAGGTTAAGTTTCCCAGTTCTATAATAGTACAAAGAATCGCAGGACTAGAAATGATCAGACATGGAGGAGCATTTGCGATGGCCACGGTTATACGGCATAAGCAAATTGCGCGACATTTTTGCGAAGACTAGTTACCGCGCAATTTTGTCAAGCTGTCCTCAAGGTTTAAATTGTTTTCAAACCTAGAATTGAATTTTATTGCGAATTCCATTTCAGCTTCGACCAAATACGAAGCAGCAGCTCGATGTCTGGACGCCATAACCTTCATGGTACCGGAATCGCATTCGTTGGATTCGGAATCCCGGTTAGATTTCTCGAATTGTTTGTTGTTGATTTTTGCTCGGGGTAGAATGTCCATTCAATTCCGAGCATTTCCGCTGAGCTATCAGCCAAGATAGTCGTCCCAATAAGGAAATTGGTGGTGTCGCAACCGGGGTAATCGTCCGCTGTACGAGAGAGGCTGGGATTTCCATAGGGGCATGATGAGTGAACGCTGAGGGGAGGGGGTTTGCTGCAGTGGAAGGGAGAAGGAAGCGTTTCTAACGCATCTTCAAAAAAAAACATGAAGAAGGCGAAACTAGGTCTCCTGACGTTTATTTAGACATTTTCCCTCCTCTCGCTTGACAACAGTTCTGGGATGGAGCGAGGAATGGGCGCAGTTTCAGTGTGTCAAGTGGCCTCAAAATCAGACCCAATAGAAAAAGCTGTTGTAAAAAGCTGAGTGGGTAGGCCGACAAGTTCTAAGTGGAACTTCCCCCGAGGGGGCATGTGAAGGCCCTTTCAAGAGCATGGGTCGCAAAAAAAAATGTAATCAGCACAACAGGCGCTTATCCCTCACAGCTTCACGAGCCGTCTGTATGCAGAGAAGAGTTGTTACTGAGAGGGTCGCATCTCAAATTTATCTCAAGGCCCTGCTTGACCCTGGTCCCTACTCTAGCGCAACGTAGAAAAGCGGCTTAATCAATGTAAAGTGGGCAACATTAATATTTTAGAATTTTTAGTGCGTTTCTGGAGTCCAGACAGCGTGATCCCGCAGAGAAAAGAGTGCCTCAACAGAAGTGGGTAGCTGCAACATCACGCGTCCAATGGCAGGGGGGTCCTGTGACGCAACCTCTGTCTCTCCCAAGCTAAGGATACAATCAGCGGTGAGGGACGCCTCCCAGTAGGGGAAAGATAGGATATGGCCCCATGTTTTATGGTTAGGGCGCAACGCAGCGAGGGTATGCATTGCCTCCCGAGTGCCTCCCTGCTCTTGTGCAGGAACTTATTTAAGGCCTTCGCTGAGCTTGGGAACCGGTGGTGACGCGGTGAGGTAGTACGCGCTTCAGTGCTGTTGAAAGAGAGCAAAAGCAGCGTCGCTGAATCAATTGGCGCGATGGGTGTACTTAGGTCACGGCGCGACGACGCGCAAGTAAGTGCGTCGTCGCGCCGTGGCCTAAGTACACCCATCGCGACAAGTTTTTCTCTTTCCCATTCTTTCCTAACAATCACTGCGCTTCAGGGAACGAAGCCGATCGGACAGCGACATGGCACCAAAAGAGGAGCGTATGGACACCTCTTTGCAATCGACGATCTCAGTACGTAAACCGGTGTTGCTTATTACCTCAAAGTGATGTCATCGTAAACTCCCTCGTCTAGGTACCCGCTGCTACCTCACGACGACTCTCATCCGTTGGGCAATATAAGAAGAGATTATTGCAAAAATATCAGGAAGAGCAAGAGGAGCGGCAAGCGTCAAAACAACGTAGCAGTAGCAGTCCTCCGCCGAGTACCACCGTACGTTCATCTGAGCAGTGTGACTCAATGGTTCCTTTTTTGAACAATTATTACAATTCCTCTTGGTGAATATTCTTTACGTGAAACTGTATGCCATCCCCTACTGACCGGCTCTATACTTCACATGACATGGGCGGTGCTATCCGGTGGGCGGGGCTGTATGGCGAAGGGTACCCCCAGGAGGCCCATCGCGCGGCAAGAAGGCAGAGTCGGCGGACGAGTCGCAGCGCGTGATGTGCGATGTAGGACGTGCAATGGGACATTCTATTTAACTTGACGCGAAATCCCTAATACGCGCGCGACTCGTCCGCTGACTCGGCCTTCTTGCCGCGCGACGGGCCTCCTGGGGGGGGGGGGGGGGGGAACCCGTATGGCGAATTGGAGCGTCAAAGTGCGAGACTTTTGCCACTTTATAGTTGGGAAAAGAACGGCACATAACTATAACTTCAATTCAAGGGCTCTAAGTCTCCCTGAAACAGTAGTGTGGCCTCTTGAAGGCCTTGCTGCATTCGTCAGAAGATCCGGTATCGCTAAGAGCCAGTATCGCCATCCTTCGGAAAAAGGTTCATGACCTTGTTTACACTCGGCGAAGTTCGAGCGTTTGTGAGCTGCTCTTAACGGATAAACTGAATTGGCTTCTCATCCAGGGTCAGGCGTGCGTTGAGGAGTCCTCGACAGGTCGACGGGGGAGGGGAGGTCGTTTGGCCGGCTGGGGGCTGGAGGAAGGGTTCGGGATGGTTCGACGGAGTGGAATCATTACTGTCGAATGACAAACATCAATGAGTGATCGATGCTGTGCAAGCTTTACCAGAGGGATTCCAGTGACGGTGTTATACCGCCACAGAATATTTTCGTGGTTCAAGGGGTCCGCATAGGTATTCCAAGCTACCTTGGTGATTTATTTCGACAAAGTTAAAGAATCCGAAATTCGCACGTTTTCCGACTGATATTTTATCTTTCAAATGAGTCCACCAACATGAAGGGATGTGAAGCACACGGCGCGTCCCAGAGTGGGCCCAGTCACTTGCGTCTTCGAACAAGGGCTCTTTTAAGAAGAAATCTCGACCAGGAAGGAGAAA